CCAGGTGTAATCCTTCATTTTCCTGGGACTTTCTCACCCTTCCTACAAACCACTTCAGTGAGTCTATGACTCACATCATCATCTTCAGCAAGGCAGTGACTCAACTACTTGGTACGAATTTCCTGTATCGGTTGTTTTTCTGATTGATGTGACCAAAGACTCAGGAAGGACTTTAACGGATGCAGAGCTTATCTGGCTCTTCTTAAAGAGATACGGCCCGTCAGAGTGGAGAAGGCTTGGTGGCGAATGACTTCATGGAACATGAGCATATGGCTGGGGTACCTCTGTATTATGGTGAAGGAGGCATGGTGGCAGGTTCCTTCATGGAAGGTGAGCGTGAATGGAGGACTCTTCTACAGTCTATCATGGCAGAGAAGCCATGGCTTTGGATGATCTCACGGAGAATGGGTGTGCATGTGGCACTCCTCTCCTGCTCGTGTCTTGGCAGAACAAGCAGCAGAATTCTTTTGGTAGTTTCTATATTGTGGTGGCTCATCTTCACTGTCTACTTGTCTGCATTTAGAATCACTTAGAAGATACACCTCTGCGCTTGTCTGTGAAGGTATTTTTAGAGAAGATTAGTGTAGGAGGGAAGACCTACCCTAAAGTTTGGGATGCTATCCCATGGCTTAGGAATCTAGACTAAACAAACAAGCTGGATGAGTACTCACCGACTCTCTCAACATTCCCTGTTTCATCATTCAGACAGGTGTGAGAAAGCAGCCTCGTGCTCTTATGGCTGTGCCCCTTCCATCACAATGAGTGGGACCCTCTAAACCTGAGAGACGAGCAAGCCATTCCCTCCTTACGTTACCTACTTTCAAATATCCCATTTACAAAGGAGAAAAATGACACTAGATGCTGGTGGCACACACCTTTCATTCCCACACTCAGGAGGCTGACGCAGGTGGGCCTCTGTCAGTTTAAGACCAGCTTGGTCTACAAAGAGAGTTCCATAACAGCGAGGACTGTTACACTGTTACACAGAGAAACCTTGTCTCAAAACACCAAAAAAAAAAAAAAAAAGAGAGAGAGAGAAAAAGACTAACACAGATATACACTGTGTTGTCATTAATGATGGCTACCATGTTGCATAATTAAATTTTTTAAATTATTCATGTCTAACTGATAGCTGCTATCACTTGAGATATCCCCAATCTCCTCTCCTGCTTACCAATTTCTTGTGATTACTACTTTCCTTGCCTTTCCAGATTTTGCATTTAAGTGAGATCCTGTGATTTCTGTCTTTCTGTGCTTGACTTAGTCCACTTAAGGAAATGGATACTTAGTACAAAGTACATGTTCTTGCATTATATACATGTACTAGTTAGGTTTTTTTTTTTAATTGGTATACACTGGAGGCACTTGGGAAGAGGAACTCTCAATTGACAAGCTGTCTCTATAAGATTAGCCTATAGGCAAGTCTATCCATCATTTACTTGGTTATAGATTAATGGGGGAGGGCTCATCGAAATTTAGGGGTTATTACCTCTAGGCGAGTGGTCCTAGATAATATAAGAATTCCTGCTGAGCAATCTATAGGGAGCAAGCAAGTAAGCAGAATTCTTCCATAGCCTCTATATCAGTTCCTGCCTTGAGTTCCTACCTTGACGTCCCTGCATAATGGACAATAAGCTTTAAAATTAAATAAACCCTTTCCTCCCTAAGTTTGCTTTTGGTTGTGTCTTATCAAACCAATAAAACTTCTAATATAATATGGTACTGCAACAGTATATTAGAATATATATACATACATAAGTGTTACCTTAAGTGCTCAAATAGCATACATGTATTGTATATATATATATATGTATATATATATACATATATATATATGTATTTATGTGTAATGTTAATTTTTAATGAATAAGTTGAAGCAGATGCAATTTTTATATGTTCTAAATAACTTATGATTTGGGAAGTAGATGTATACACAAGCATAATGACAATTAAAACCCAAATTTTGGCAGGAATATCTAATAAAAGGTTAAGGACTATTAAAAAGATTAAGTATTTCCTGTTATGAATCTCTTGTATTTTTCTTGCTGTCGGATGTCTGTATTTTTTAAAGCCTACTTTGAAGGGAATATTGCACATTTAGATAACTGTTTTCACATTTCCTACACTGTCTTTCTTTTGCCTGAAAATATGTCCTGTAATCAGTTAAAATTATTAAACCATATTCTTCAAGAACATGGTTTCAATGCAGCTGTTGAATATGTTTTACCAGAAATGAAAGTATGAATTGACTGAGGTCTATTGAAATACTAACCCAAACCCCACTCAGCTAAGAGATCATTTTCACTTTTTCCCACCCAGATTCTCTGAATGACACTAAAGAGGAGCTACAGTGACTAAAACAGCCACAGGCCGGTTGGCAGCATGGGGAGATGGCATCCACACCCCGTCCTGTCAGGGCACAGTGGAGACATTGGCACCACTGCAGAGTGCTTGGCATCTTAGCCTGACTGGAGGAGCAGCTGCTGACCTCCTCCAGATCAAGTGACACAGGAGGAGACACACAGCTCTGGTTAGGCAGGGATCAACATCTCTCAGAAAACAACAAACACCGTTGGAAAAGTCCAAATTGTAACGAGTGTCAGATGTAGGATCATTTCCAATTCTTAAGATGAATTTTGTCCTTTAGAAGAGTCAAGGCAGTAACTTTAAAAGCCTTTACCATGTGCACCCAGTTCTTATCTTTATGTCCAGGTATTTTTTGTACTTATTATTCCAAATACATTTAATACCTGAAGCATCAAACAGCAGACTCACATCTTCAGTTTTATTTTTCATTTATTTAGAGCAAAATTTATAAGAAGCAATGAATTTTAAGCAAAATAAAGAAAGCAACACAAGAATTAGGAAATATAGTACATGAAACATCACACTTCAAATTAAGTACATTATGATATAATTTGTATTGAAAAACACTGAAGGAAACAAGTACATTAAAACCATAACCCTAATTATATATAGTTTTCTTTCCAGACTTATTTATCTTTCAAAGATAACTGAAAGTAAACACACTTCAGAAAATTTAGAAACTAATGAGATGTTACTGCCAAAAAAATGTAAAAAAATTACACTATTAAAATGAAAGAATAATTAATTTAAATAAATAATTACATTACTAAGTTTACACACCCAGTCAGAAATTCTATCACTTCACCATGAAGTCACTGACTATTTTAGACTGGCTCTTGTAGGACATTCACAGTCTAGGAAATGTGTTGGGCTCTGAGGACACACTGGCAGATAAAGCAGACACGATCCTGCCCTCGAGGAGCTTCCAGTCTAATGTAACACAGACTACTGCGATACCCCATGAGCAGCTCTGGGCAATGTCCTCCATTACAGAGGAAGCGACAGCTGAGCCAAGCTCTGCAGTGTGAGGATTAGTTAATCTGTGGGAGAGGAAAGAAAGATGCATGAAGAGGGTAAAGGAAGCAGAGGTCCTGGGTTCACAGTGGTTTCCATCAAAAAGATGCAGATACTTGTTGACCACAGTGACAGTTCGCTCGTCCATGAGGAGATGAGAACAGTATGGTCAGTCTTTTCAAGGCTAACATCAATCCATTTTAATGAGTGAGCTTACCACCATCTTGTTTCCTAGCATCCTAAGGAATAACCTCTTTTAAAAATGAAATGGTTGTAATAGACAGTATCCTTTAAAACGATGGCCTTATTTTTGCTAATAAAATGAAAACCTCTGGTATTATAAAACTTATGCATAAGACCTGAGGATCACCGTGGAAAGTATGTAACAATGACACTGCTGAGGGGGTGTGGGGGATGCGGGCAGGCTACAGAGGACAGGGTAGTTAAAGCATGGAGGTCATGTGAGAACTCAGGATTTTTATCCCAAAATACTGGAAGTGATTTTCAACAAGGGAATGAGCCATATCAAAGTCTCTGAAAGATCATTCTGAAATGCTGTGTGTAGACTCTGTAGAGGACAGAAAAACACAAAGGCAGACAAGCCAGAGAAGCAGCCCTGAATTGTCTCAGAAAGAGGAAGAATACAGTCAGTTGGATAGTGAAATTTCTGGAACTGAGTAGGAAATGGTGGGTTTAAAAGAGAAAGTTAATGACATTTGGTGAGATGGAATGCTGGGTGAGAAAAGGGCAGGTTGGGGTGGAGGAGACTGACACCAAGTCTTTTTCATTTGGAAACTGAATTGACTGTGCTAATATTGAACAGCAGAATATAAGAGAAAAATGCCTGGTGAAGGGAGGATTTGAGGACATGCTGCACTGCAGATATCTTTGTGTTTCGATGTGTTAGGTCAATGTTTAGCAGGTCTGAAGCCTAGGAGACAAAAGGTTGAACTTGAGCTGTAAATGTTATAGTCCCCAGCAAAATGGTCACAACCACCAAAGTGAATGGAGTTTCCCAGAGAACACAGCATATCAGAAAAGGACAGAGGATGTCGTTGGAGGAAGAGGAGCAGCATAAGGAAGCAGAGACAGAGGAGAGGCAGGGGAGGAGGGCTCAGAGGGAAAACTGAGCTATCAGCGTGGGAAAAACCAAGGGCAGAACAGTAAACAGAGTCAGATGCTGTAAGAGTCAACAGGAAGGTGGGTAAGGGAGAGGCCAGGATGTAGGGTGAATCTGCAGGTGCACATGAGCTCTTCTAGATGGTGGTTCTAACAACAGAACAGGACAGCAGCTGGCATGGGGTGATGGGGGATTTGAGCAAGCGGCTTTTTACCTTTTAAGCCTAGACTCTCAAACGTTGATACTCTGTTGATAGGGAGGATTTGAAGACTTGTAACAACTGAAGACAATCAATAGAAATTCAGATACCAGATATTGCTTATCTTAGAAGCCTAAAAGTCTTTAAGAGGGTGCATGTTCTTCCCACAGAGACATGACTTGACTACAAAGTTCTCAGTGGATTTAAATATACTTACGAATATGAAACAATTCCAGTGACCTCTAGGGAATCACATTTTAAAATACTTTAAGAATCACATTTTAAAATACAATTTAAAAGTTATATCATTAACTCCAGCTGTTGTCCATAGAGATCATATTCTTTAAATAATAAGTATCTCCGAATCGCTGCTGGGAGGGGAAGCTTCTCCATGGAGGCTGGCTGGCACAGTCGCTGAAGTCCCATAACTCTACGAATTTTTAACCGGCACAGATGCTTTAATGAGCAAGGACTCTCTAAAAGAAATGAGGGAACAAACAGAAAGTTGAAAAGTCCTATTGGCTTCACATGTAAGATACAGATTGTTTCAGAGTAGCATACAGAGTGTTTTTCTGCAAATATGCACATTACCAGGTGATAATTTTGACCTCAATACACATTTCAATGAAGTACTCCAGCCCTTTCCTCATGATCTGAGCTCCATGAGGATGGAAATTCCATCTGCATCTTTGTGAAGAGAGCCAAGTCTGGCTCCTCATGGGTGTCCAACTATAGTTGGTTAAAAAGACAAATGGAGTTGACTTTAAAAGCAAATGGTCACACTTTTCTTTTTTTTTTTAAGAACTAAATATTATACAGACATATTTCTTTATTTCCTCTCTTTTCTACTAGTTTTTCTGATAAATAATTATCAGTAAAACATTACTCAATGATTTTATATAACATTTATGATTCAGTCCGAGGCCTGTTCCCAGTGTCTGTGACACATTGGCTACTAATGTTTACATATTTCATGATATGTAAACATATTCTTCGTATCAGAATTATAAAAGAGCCAGTGAGGAGGCAGCACAGTACAGATATACAAGTAAATGATGGCTCTGGACTCTGTCAGCTGGCATTACAATCCTGCCCGTTACTTTGCATGACCTTGCACAGTGGCTTAACCTTATAATTAGTATTCTCATTTATGTAAGGTGGATAACAATAGTACCTACTTCACTGGATCATCTAAAGGCTAAATACACCATATGAGCTGCTAGAAAAGCCTATGATGCCAAAACATTCAACAAATGCTGGGGTTGGGGCCGCTCCATAGGTAACGTGTTGCCTGTGCAGCATTAAGACCTGAGTTTACCAGAGAGGCAGAAACAGGGGGTACTGGAAGCTCACTGGCCAGCCAGCCTGCCTCATCAGGAAACCCCAGAGGAAGGACATCCGATGTGGACTTCTGGCCCGCATACACACATACACGTCCACTTGAACTGCCACAGACACAACCAAAGAAACGTGAGGGAGCATTCACTTCACGTGATGGCGTCTTTGGTATAGCTGGTGATAAAATTTCAAATCACGTTCTTTTAATAGTAAAACAAAGTTAGCATTGGTGGCATATGCCTGTAATCCCAGCATTTGGAGGCCAAGGCAGGAAGGTTTGAGGTCAGCCTGGGATAGAGAGAGAGTTTCAGACTAGATTGGGCTGCATAGCAAAATCCCATCCCAAAAATAAATTAGGACAATTTTCTACAAACTTGAGGCAAAAATAATAGGGACATGGCATTATGAAACTATGAAGCCAGGCATAGCGGCGCACGTCTGTAATCCCAGCACTCAGGGAAGAGAGCCAGGCAGATCACTGTGAGTTCAAGGCCAGCCTGGTCTACAAAGTGAGTCCAGGGCAGCCAAGGCTACACAGAGAAACCCTGTCTCGAAAAACATGAAACAAACAAACGATAAAAGAAAATATGAAAAGGTTAGGATCAAAGTGGGCACTCTCCCATGTTTTAATAAAACTGTGATTTTATTTTGCTACTTAACATACAAACCACCTATGGCTGGAGGAACGCTGGCATCCAGTGATTTTCTCGGCTCCCAGCAACCAGCTGATGCTGGCTGCAGGAATAAGCCACTGAAATAGCAGAAAAGCACCCTGACTTCATTCTTACCTAGAGTTTCTTTCTTTCTCTTTCTTTCTTTAAAGATTTATACAGGATTTATACAGTATTCTGCCTGCAAGAGGGCACCAGATCTCATTATAGGTGGTTATGAGCCACCATGTGGTTGGTGGGAATTGAACTCAGGACCTTTGGAAGAACAGCCAGTGCTCTTAACCTCTGAGCTATCTCTCCAGCCCTCCCCACAGAATATCTTTCTAAAATCATCACAACTAGGAGTTTGTTTGAGATAAAAACACATGGACCATTAATTCTCATTTCCTAAAAAAAAAAAAAAAAAGAAAGAAAGAAAGAAAAAAGAAAAAAATTTCTGCTACTTATGATAGAAATAACAGTAATTACTGCAGAAACAGCCAATGTTATCAAGTAGGATAAATGAGGCTCAACCAACCCCTGGCTTTGTTATCGCCCCAAACTTTGGGAAATTAATTTATTTATGCTTCACTGGTGTTTTCATTTTTGAAAACACCATTTAAGGTGAATCATTTAAGCTTTTTTGCCTTTAAAATTTTAAATATGAGACTAACTACAAACATGCATAGTTTCATGAATTAAGAATACCAAATAGATGAACATCTTTGACTGCCTCTCAGGTTATGAAATAAAACTTTGTCAGCCACAGAAGATGGCTGCTCAGCCTTGCCAACCTTCGTTCTTCCTTCTCCCACAAACCACCACGACACTGATTTGTACAGCAATTACCCCATTTGAAGCGTCATCATCTAAGGGGTCTGTCCTTACACTAACTATAGGATTGATACAAAGTGTGGCTTTCCTGCCTTGGCCTCCGAATGCTGGGATTACAGGCATATGTCACCAACGCTAACTTTGTTTTACTATTAAAAGAATGTGATTTGAAATTTTATCACCAAACATAACAAAGATGCCATCACTCTCATCATTGAAGTGAATGCTCCCTCAGCTTTCTTTTGTTGTGTTTGTGTATGTACACACACACACACACACACACACACACACACACACACACACAGTGTGTATATCACCAGCTATACCAAAGACGCCATCATGTGAAGTGAATGCTCCCTCACGTTTCTTTGGTTGTGTCTGTGGCAGTTCAAGTGGACGTGTATGGGTGTATGTGGGCCAGAAGTCCACATCAGATGTCATTCCTCTGGAGGATGTCATTCCTGCAGCTGGAGGATTAAAAAGTTATGCAATATCCTTAAGCATCTTAAGATATTCAGTTCTTCATCCATTTTTTAGCACGTCACTTAATCACTGAAGAACCCAACTGCCTGTTTTCCTGGGGCTGGAATGTATCGCCACCGTGAAGCTCCATGTCAGTTTGCCTCCTCTGTTTTTTGAAAGGTGGTAGCTGCATCCAGAGATTGAGCATACGTATGCCTGATTTCTCTGGCAAATGATTTTCTCTCATCTACAACCTCCGTAATAAGATACTGGCAATAGCCAAGGTGTGACAAACACATCAATTCATTTATTTGGGCTATAAAATGAAGTTATGTAAAAGTTCACTTATTACTTGAGACACTTTCATGGAGAGATTTTGCTCATCTATTTTGGTTACCTATGACAGGTATATAAACATATATGGTGTATGTTGTTTGTATGACATATAAACAAGGCAGAAAAATGGCTTAAGTGTTTTTTTTAACAAGTTTCAAATTAAGTCAATTTCCTATAAACCCTTTGAAATGATCAGGTTTTAAGGTACCGTGTATTTAGACATTTGGACATAATTTGGTTACTCTTTGAAAGAACCATGTTTTTGAAACTTGAATAGTCCTGTTTGTCCATTGAGAGTCTCAAGTTGGCTCATGGACTCTCAGACCCAGCTCTGGTAGCCACTGGTGCCTGGTATGAGCAGATACTTCAGGTTCACGCTTACGAGTTTCCTTCCTCAGATCTGGAATCATCACATATAATTTATTATTTCGGGGATTGGCTTTTCTGCACCAAATTCTGTGTGACAAGGATGCTCAGAACTATGGTCACTGCTAATTGTAAGTTTCTCTGAGGAAACACACTCATCATCACATTCACAACAACACATACACACAATAAACACGTAAACAAAAATTTGAAGTAAAGAAAACATCTGCTTTTACCTATTATTTGGCGGATTTCTGGCCATTCTCTCTGTGCTTCTAGCACAGACTTCAGTTTGGCACACAGAGGGACGTAGTCCATGTAGTCTATGAGTATACGGACGGTGCTGCCCACCAGGTGCTTCATCCATGGAACTGTAATAAACTCACAGAACTGAGAAAATTGAGAAGTTAATTTAGTGGTTTTAAAATATATCATACACATAATCAGTATTGCTATAAAAAGTTGCCCTTTGTCTTTTTACAGGAAACATATTCTTGATATGTTCTTGATATATTCTTGATATATATATATATATATATATATATATATATATATATATTCTTGATGATAAACAAAAATGAAAAAGAAATGCCATGATTATTACTTAGGACTAAAGTACTAAACGCATATTCATGTTCCTGTTGGGATCAGAGCAAACATGACATGGAAGATTGTTTTTCTCCCTAGCCCCAGTATAATAACCCAGTATAATAACCCCAGGGTTAAAAAAGAATCAAAACTTAAAGACAGATGTGAATTAGGGTACTGATCCAAATTGAAGAAGGAAAGGATGCAACTCACTGGGTTATCTTTTATTATGCATGATGTCCATCCTGGCAGTTCCTCCTCCTCCATCTCTGACCACGCAAATGAATTTCCAAAGATGTCACCGTGCAAGCAGTCAAAGCACAGCTCCACCCGGTAGCCATTGTTCAGCAGGAGCCTCAGCATAAGCTCATCATTTAGGGCATACTGAATGGCACTGGGAAAGTGAGTGTCATTCACATGCATAAAATAACAATTGACGTTAGCTCCGTAGGAGAGAAGCAGCCGGACAATCTCGTGGCTGTTGGCCCTCACTGCCACCAGCAGACAGTTGAGGGGATCTAAGTTGGGCTCTGCACCTGCAGCCAGAAGGATTTCCGTGCAGTGGACATCATTATTAGAGACGGCAAAATACAGTGCAGTCTTCCTCTCATCGTCGTAGCTCTGGGAAATGTGGTCCGCGAGCAGGGCATTGACGTCAAAACCATTTTCAATGAGCAGTTCGAGGCACTGAGCATTTTGTCCATCTGTGGCTGAGTGAATTGGGGTTAGGCCACTTTTCTGGATTGCATGTTTGGATGTGACTGGGATAAGATATTTCAGAGCACTAGAGCAAAAACAAACAAACAAAAAACAACAACAAAAGTCTTTAAATACCCTTATTGTATAAAGAAAATTAAATAATTGAATAAAACTTTCTCATTAGACAAGTGAATTCGCTTTGTTTAGTTTAATGCAGTTTAGTTGAGTTTTAATTTAGTTTCCCATTCTAAAAATTCCCAAGGAACATCCTGGATCTTACATGTTTGGTTCTAAGTTTGAATCCTCAGGACTCTCCCCACTTTTACAATTCTGCCTCTTAAGAGTACAATTTTTAAAACCAACAGGTGTGATTGTAATTTGCCAAAGAGCATAAGTGCCTCTGATGGCATAGAAAAACAATGGACAATCCTGGCCACTAGAAACCATGCAGTCTTGGGCAGATGACTTGGACAGCATAAATATAGCCTTCTCACTTAAAGATGTACACTACAAGGGCTTAACAAGGAGATGACTTGTCTAAGGGCCTAAGCTCTATGTGAAAGAGTCTTTTGAATCTTATTAATTTTTTCCATTAATGTTAAGACACTTATCCATATTGTCTGTGTACGTCTTGTCTCTTATACAGCTCACAGGTGAATTCTTTTTTTTTTTTTTAATTTTTATTTTACTTTATTTTTGGGTTTTTGAGAAAGGGTTTCTCTGTGTAGCCTTGGCTCTCCTGGAACTCAAACTGTAGGGCAGGCTGGCCTTGAACTCAGAGATCCACCTGCCTCTGCATCTGTGTTGGGATTAAAGGTGTGCAGATGGCTCAGTTTTCTCCACAGGAGGGTTCTTAGTGAAAAGAAGGATCTTTAGCGTTCCAACATACTTGCATCCATCCTGATGACATAGCTGTCCCTAGCTCAAGTTTCTAAATACATGTGATGATACTTGTCAATTTCACACTTCACTAACCATCTAGACATTCATACGAGCCACAAGCAAGGATAACTCGATCCCCTGTGCCTAAGTCAGAGCTATCATGTGTGAATTTATGAACACTGGGAGTAAATCCAGTGAAACTTTAACAACATGTCACTTCACATCAATTATGCATCATTGGTCCCTTAACTTTGCCAATGTGGCTACCAGAAATAATAAAGCCTAGCTATTTCAAAGTTTTTGAACTTGTGAGATACTTTTAATTTCTTAAAACCATCTTCTCTTGGAGGATAGTTTAATGTTGTGATTTTAGACTTCTATTACTATATTGGTTATAACATATTTTGTGGTTGAAAATTATACTCAATCTACGTTATAATGAATCTTTTCTATTTATTATAATATATCCACTATTATAGTATTATGTACATCATGGCAATGCTAGGAAATGACCAGACTAAAAGTAGCATTACAAATTCTAATCCTCAGTCAATGGCAAAATGTTTAGAAACTTTGTAGCCGTTTGTTGAACCATTTTTTTTTAAATACAAAATGACATTCCTGCTAGTTGGTGAAGATTTCTCAATTACAACTTTATTCCTCTACAATGAATACTTTTTATTTAAAAAAATTCTATAAATTCATCCTGTGAAAATCAAGGCTATAGAACGGAAGACAGTAAGCTATGAAATCAATTTCAAGCAATGAAATACAAAATGTGTGAATCTCTACCTTTGAGATTTGGGGAGTATCCTATATTGAGAGATTTTACTGTACATACAACTTAGCTTTTTTTTTTAACGTAAAGCAATCGCCTCAGTATATTACTCACAGGTAATGTCCCTCATAGGCAGCTCGGTGTATTGGAAGATGCCCTGCCCTGTTAGGCACATTGCCGCTTCCTCCGTATTTCAGCAGGAGGGAAATGCAGTCAGGGTTTCCGCCTCCTGCTGCCTCAAATAGCACAGATGCCCCATCATCCGCCAAAGCAAACACATCACCACCTGGCGGGGTAAAGCACATGGCTTAGATGGCAGTGCTGAGAGAGTCTGCTAACGTAACCTCTCGGCTTCCTTTCTGATTCAAATCAAACAGTGTAGAATTTTGACCAGCTATGTCTGCTTGTTTTAATAGCTTCAATAACAGCTAGGCAACATGCTTCATTTTATTAAACTTTCAGGAAGAGAGAGTAAAAAACCATGAATGAAAACAAGTCAGTTTTTATGATGGACACATGCTTTAAGAAATATGATCACAGGACTTTTTAATTTGATGAGAACAGGTATCACTCTTCCAATTCAACAAATATTTATGGATACCTATGAGGTGTAGACACTGTGTGCGGCCCAGTCTGAGCTTAATAAGCCTGACTAAAGGAGCTTAAACAATAAACGAAGACGTAACTAGAGCACACACAGTGTACGATGCCGGTGGGATGACAGCTTGAGGAGGACTCATGCTCTGAAGGGAGGAGAGCTGTCTTTGATAATGGATCTGCTGTTTGACTTCATGGATAAGGATGAGGTTTTCACGTGTCCATGTTTCTCCATCTATAAACTCATGTAGCATTTTTCCCAAGGTTATGTGGTTATCCAATGAAGTCTATATTGGGAAGCACAAAAAAAATGTTACCTTTCTTTGGGGGATCATGTGATTCATTTATGGATGAGGACTCTGGGTCCTGAGCATGTAAGTAGACAAGTGTTTCATAAAGACAAGGTGGGGTAGGAGCTAGGAGATAGGAATTGACTTTCTTTATTCCTGGTTGTACAGCTTAAGCATTTTGAAGTTTCAGGGGTGGAGAATGTCACCATTTGTTGAAGAGACTTAGGAAGTATTTATGAGAATGTATCAAGAGACTGCATATTATTCCAAATGAGAGCAAGGATCTGACCTAAACTGAGGCACCAAGAACATCCATATTCTGTTTTTCCTGGAGTGGAATACACAGGATTGGAATAGTGAAGCGCAAGTCTGGAAAAACAATTCTCATTATCAAAAGCAGCTGCGGTGGAGTTTTGAGTAGAATACACTATTGATATTGTGCTTGTGCAAGAGGAACTAAGTTGTACATAGTATGGAGTCTCTGACATGCAGAATGGAAATCTGGAGAAGAGTTAGCAAATGATCACACGGGTCCAGGGAAGATGGGAAGGACCTAGCCAGGGAGGCAGACAGATGGCCACATGGAGACAAGACAGACTTTTATACTTTGCAACCATCTGGATTTGGGAAAGAAAGTGACAGATATTTAGTGGTAAATCCAACCTCTAGGTCCTGGTTAAGAGAGACTGTGACATCAACAAGTGGAAAAAGAGGAGGAATTAACAAGGATTACAGTAAAAGCCTTCCCACAAGATCGATGTGGAAACTAGGCTGTCTCTAGAGAAAGCAATCAGGGCTGCTCTTCCCAATCTCTGCTGGTCACAACAAACAGAGCCTCAGTGGTGGGATAAGGGCTTAATGAGGCACTAGGATAAAGCCTCACCCAAAGGAGGAGGAGGCCATGTGCAACAGAGGAGAGCCTGAGGTCAAGACAGAATAACTCATTCCACATACCTTTGTGAATAAGATGTTCTAACACATCACAGTGGCCGTACTCAGCAGCAACTCCTAACGGTGTCACTCCAAATCCGTCTCTCAGGTGGACGTCGCCTCTGTGGTTCAGCAGCAGGGCTATAATATCTTTGCGGCCTTGCTTAGCCGCTTCGTGCATTGCTGACCATTGCTTGACACAGGGCTGGTCAAGGCTGGTGTTGTATTTAATCAGTTCAGATACCATGTCATAGGAGCCCTTTTTTATAGCTTGAACAGGAATATTAACATGAAGTTGCCTTATCAACTTGAGTATTTTATATGGAATTAAACTAATATCAAAATAGGTAGAAGCTATTCCATTTCTTCTATAAAAGGATATGGTATTTCTCATGTGCTTTCTCTTTCACGTGCTTAATTTTTGTCTGTGGAGTCTTCAGGACTCAGAATGGGTAAGAACTTCATAAGAAATGTTTATCATCAAGATAGAATTTTGTCACCCGTGGTGACATGTGTCTTTAATTACAGCCCTTGGAAGGCAGAGGCAGGCAAACCTCCATGAGTTCAAGCCAGCCTGGTCTACAGAGTGAGTTCCAGGACAGCCAGGGCTACACGAAGAAACCCTGTCTTGAAAAACAAAAAAGAGGGGAAAAAAGACAGAATTTTATGTGTACCCATTCCAAACATCAACCTCTTTAAAAAAAAAAATGGGAACAGCACACTATAGGGTTATGCCAATTAAATAATGTATGTTAACCATTTAGTATAGTACCCGGTATACAATATATATACAATAAATTATTCTTAGCATCAATATCATTTCTAGGACTCCGGTCCTCCACAAATGAATATTTATTAGGTTTCTCCCCGACAGAAACAAGTATTATTTTTCCCACCAAGGACAGTATTTGTCAGACAGTGAACAGGTAGGGAGCTGGACCTAGAAGAGAGGGATAAAGTCCCTCTCCTCCTCCTATACTGCATGCTGCTAACTAAGTGGCTCTTCCTGACCTGTCCACCTTCCACCGTGGCTCTACCTGTGGTGCCCTGCTCGTCCTAGCCACTGTCACGGCAGAGAGGAGTGAGCCTGACTGTCTCTCACAGCTACTGTTTCATGTTTTTAGATTTTGGGGGAAAATGTTTTACATAATAAGGCTCTTCCCTTTATGGTGCTGCCCTTCTGCTCCCCTCTGGAACGTACTAGTAGCAAGATTAAGCTTTCTTCGTGAAAACAACAGTGTAAGCAGGGAATCTTCAACTTAAAGTAATTTCTTAAAATTTATATTTTCAGTTCTTATTTAATACTTTGGAAGAATGTATTTTCCATAGAAATCATACCAATGGTAGGGACTTTTTCTTTTCAGATAACCTGTAAAGACAGTCTAAACTAACAACCAACTGAAATATTTACATCCATAAGGCACATTGTACATTGAATATAGTTGATAATACAATATGAACTTACATATACAGTTTTGTGCATAGTCTTTCATATATGGTCTACATATAAATTCTATAGAATTTTTTGGAAAATCCAATTTCAGTTGCTTTATTTACATGCTTTACATATAAATTCTATAGAATCCAAAATTCATATTTCAATTAGAATTGCCTAGTGTTATTTAAGATTTCTTTGGAAGTCTGTGGTTTTCCGGCTTTCCCTTTTTATTTCTACTTTGTCATTTTCTTCCTTTTCCTGAATATATGAGTTTTGCTAATAACTTACAGAGCAACTCCTAGGGATTTTCTGACTCATAAGCACACAGAGAAGGGAGCGCTGAGACTTCTGGGTAAGGAAGTGAAAAAGTGAAAGAGCTGAGAAGGGTGTGCTTTGATTTGTGAGCAAGACGCTGTCAGAAGTGATGCGAACTGATGTCAGAATGCGGAGTGCCGTGAGAATGGAGGCCAGCGGATCTGAGCCCCGTGAGGAAGACTTCTCAGCGCTTCTTACACATCCAGTTGTGCTGGCGAGGGTAAGCATGCCTACCCAGCAGAAGAAAGGGGACGCATCCTTTGGATGAGCAGAGAGTCCATCCAAGAGAGGAAACCCATAAGTGTCAGATCACCACAAATCTGATACCTACCACTCATCAAGAAGACTAACATGGCTGTGAGGCATCAAACACTGCAAGTCACAGCCAGATGACTGAGTGAGAGGAAGAGCCCTGAGTAGATTTAAGGTTATTTTATTTTAGCCATCTGAGCATGCTTCATAAATAGACACAGAGATGAAGAATTGAGACAAAAAAAATATTGAAGTGAGTTACACAGAACAAGGGCCATTCCTTCTCTTTTCTCTCTTTTGCAAATAATGATCCATGAGGAGCAAATTTCAAGGTAGCCCAAGAGCAAACCTGTTAAACTCACATGGATGACCCTTTTATTATAACTTAAAAGCCCTATTGATGCTGTCTCTATATTGCTCAAGACAGTTCAGGGAATTACATCCCTATACAGTTTTTGCAGATGCAATGATTTTATTTTTATTCCCTTAATTTACTTTAAGTGTCTGCCTTCATTGTGGCAGTTACATTAATTTTCCGCTTATGTTTACCTAGCTCTCCTACAATTTTCAAGCAAAAGATTAATCAATGTCTTTATATCCGGAATGCCCAGCAAAGCATCTGGCTTAATATGACTTCTCTTTCCTTGGACAACTGTCATTGTAAAGCCCATTTTCATGGTCTCACAGCCAAGGTTTGAGTCCACAGATCTAAGGCACCAAACCCCAAACTATTATGCCATCCCTTTGTCCCTCAGAAAAGGCAATGATTATCTTGGGTCATATACAGTCAGGCTCATCTCTTTTTTTTTTTTTTTTTTTTATCAGTCATCAGATTCTTTTTGTTGTTGTTTGTTTTTGTCTTGAGACAGGGTTTCTCTGTGTTGCCCTGGCTGTCCTGGACCTCTCTCTGTAGATCAGGCTGACCTTGAACTCAGAGATCCATTTTCTTCTGCCTCCCTGAGTGCTAGAATTAAAGCTGTGCACCACCACTTTCTTATTCAACACTAGCGGAGGACGGAGATTGTAAGGCACAGAAGGTTTCCATTGCCACCCTTTCTGCTCAGAGTCACTGCTGTAAACCCTCATGGGGACCAGGCTCAGTACCTCCCACAGAATCTCCTCTTTCTTTCCTTCTGTCTTGTTTGACTATTCCAATTCAGAACTGTATTTTTTTTCTTTTGGTCATCTGCTTTCTACTCTTTTTGCTGGCAGTGTCTTGCACACACAACCCTGCCTTCACTCTACCTCAAGGGTATTTCTTTAGACTTGACACCTCTGGTATCACTGAACTAACTTGGGTCCCTCCTGTGCCCACCTCTCATGATGCTCTTTGTAGGGGAGGACAATGAAACTTATGGACAGGTGAAATGGGACTGGGAACGTGGAAAAGTTGTGGAAGGGAAAGAATTCAGGTAGCAAAATTTAGCCAGTGCACAGTAGTTACTAATAAACACTTATTAAATATTTGTATTTGCTTAAAATTATAAAAATTTTAGAAAAAAACATCATTTACCAATCAGAAGAGGCGTCTCTCCTTTGTCATTTTTGGTGTTGGGCCAGACCCCTTTTTCTAGCAATGTCTTGACATTTTCCACCAAACCAGCTTTGACTGCCAGAGTCAAGGGTGTTTCCCCATTACGGGTTTTGAATTCCCAGTGTGTCTTATAGGATGCTGCGACATGAAAGCATTTTGTTGAGAAGTTAAAAATTATATCTGCTTATGTGATTTTATGTAACTCAGAATCACCTAATTTTTATGCATACCAAAAAAACAATGATAAATCGAATACTAAGAGAAGATACAGTAAAAAGATTGCAAAAGGCTGTGAGAATTAGCACACACAGACCTGCAAGCCAGCGGACAAACAACACCCATGCTTTAACTCGTTTTCCTTAAAATGAGTTACTAGTTCTCTTTTCTGAACACATTGTAAATTGTTTTCCAATCCTTTTAAACATGTAAATTGTACATGAGATTGTTTTTGTCAAATGAATAATGTAAATGAGAAATATATTTGAATGGATGCCTTGTTATGTTGCACAAGAAATACCATCAATGCTATATATATCTGTCACTCTGGCTATTTAATTTTCAGTTGGCTCGCTGAATATCAAGTATTTCTCAGCTGTCAAAGTAAAAACTAGGAAGCAACACTGAAGCTTAAAAGCTTATATGTTCTATACAATGTAGAGATATGAAAAAATACTTAAAACCAATGCTGTGCTGACAGTGACATTTACATTATAAAAAGATTAATGTAACATGAAGATATTATTTATTGTAATATATAATGTATATAATAGTATATATCCGTTTGGAGACTAGACCAAGAATAGTTGAAGACTGAACATTTTTAAATAACACCCTTAGAAATCTTTTATTTTTTGTTTCTCTGTTTGTGTGAATGTGTGTCTGCGTGAGTGCTCGCCACATGTGTGCAGGTGCACACCCAAGCCACGAGGTGTCAGATCCGCAGAGCTGTAGTTACAGGTGTTTCTGAGCTACCTGCTATGGATGCTGGCAACCAAGCTCACGTCATCTGCAAGAGCAGCCAGTGCCCTTAACTGCTGAGCCATCTCTCCAGCCCCCAAATTAACTTTTAAAGGAAAAGTAACTTTGTATTTGAATCAGCTAAGTTGTGGCTTATGAAACACTTATCAATTACATGTTGTAACAGAACCTTTCAGCCATCCTGAACAACATTCTTTAAAAAGATTTTTATGTTATTTACGCTGTATTCTGTACTGCATGTATGGCTACGTGCCAGAAGAGAGCACCAGATCTCATTAGAGATGGTTGTGAGCCATAATGTGGTTGCTGGGAATGGAACTGAACTCAGGACCTTGGGAAGAACAGTCAGTGCTCTTAACCTCTGAGCCATCTCTCCAGCCCCCTGTACAGCATCCTTAGGTGAACCAATGCAGACGCTAACTTTCAGATGCCTCAAATTGTGCTAGTCTTTTATTCTGCTTTTAAGTTTTGCTTGTTATGTTCATTGAACTACCGTAACATCTACATTTTTGCTCTAGTTTTCTTAAGCTTTCTTACCGTCCAGAACAGTCTCAAGTATCTGTGTAATGGGTTGAACAACAGCTTCATGCAATGGGAACCATCCTTTCTCATCAGCTTCATCCAGAGCATATTTATGCTGCACATACTCCTGGAGCTCAAGAATGTGGCCTGTGTGAAGTGAGCGGGCTCATTAGACACTGGTCCTGACAAGGAGGATGCTCAGATCCACACCCTGTGGAGCATCTGCCCACTCACCTTGCCTTATGGCCTCCACAAGCTTTCTGTTTTGATCACTTAGTGGTACAAATCTGGCAGGGAAAAAGAAAAGCAGTCAAGCCGTATTTGTACTAGTGATGCGTTTTAAGGATCCAGATGATAAACTTGAGCTTTTGCAAATATCTGTAATAATCAAACTGTTCAAGACAATCATAGAGCTGATTTTCCTCACTTGAAAATTTCTCAAGAGCCTGCACAGAGCACCCCAGTAAAGACAGCAAAGTACAGGATTAAGAAGGTTTGGGGGTCTCTCTAAGCAACAGAAAGGAGATAAATGACTGGAGTCATAGTCAAGGGTCTGGATGCAGGGCATACCCTGACTTTGTGGCCCTCAGAAAGCGTGTTAGCCTTGCTGGGTGTTGTTTTCTTCATCTGGGTGAGATTAAATAGTAAAATTCTCCAACTTTCAAAACTATGTGCTCAATACATGTCACCTAGCTCCTAGTGGTTGTTGAGAGATGCTTGGGAGTTTGTGGCTCACATGCATGTTAGAAGTCTAACCAACTGATCAATGGGCAGAACATTTACTGAATACTCTCACCCAGTGGCCCAGCAGGTCAGGCGTTAAGCTCATGGGGCAATGTTTTGGCATATGTTCTTCTTAGATGGAAACAGGAACTCAGAACAAAGGTATAAGTGGAAGCATCAGATAACATTACAGGGTTCTGAATGCCCTGTTGGAAAAATCTGTCAGCGGTTTCAGTGTTATGAAAAGTTCAAAGACCATAAATCTCATGTAGCATGTATTTTTTTTTTAAGTTAAAAGATTTTTATGATCTGAAGAGAAACCAGAGCATTACAGGTTTCAAAAGCTCAGGAGGAGAAGAGTTGGAGACGGCTAGCTGGAAAAGTGGGGGTTGCACAGGCATGAGTGCCCGAGTTCAGATCCCCTGCACACGACTGTCATTGCAGTACTGGGAGGTGGAGACACGCGGAGGCCGCGGCCTTGCCTACCCAGGCCGTCTAGCTAAACCCCAGGTTCAGTGAGAGGTCCTATTATAAACACAAAGGCAAGAGGAAGTCACTCAGTACTGGCCCCTGGCCTCCCCAGGGGAGGAGGGGTCATTTCCTTAAATGCTCAAGCATGCATGCGAACACACACACATACACACAAACGCACTGCACACACAGCTCAAGAGTAATAACTTCACAGCAATGAGCATTCTCAAAAAAGCCACCAAGTGCCAGAATATACATTTCTAAACCTGATAATAGAATGTAAACGAAAAACAAGGCCTGTTTTTTTCATTCTGTGTCATGTACAACAGGCATTTATTTTTTGCAGTTTTAGATTCTATTGTTACTATGTTTGGAACAGCAATTTTATGTATCTTGTTAATGTGTCTACAAAGGTTAGCTGACAAGGTTGCAGGATGTGTTATATACGGAACTTTTGTCTATCTGTCTGTTTTACACTGTTCTCACAAATTTGTTCCATCTTAACTCCACATTAACTAAGAATATAGGCAATCTCCAAACAAATTAAGCTACAGGTTTCCCACTTAGGAAATTTCCATTTTCTACACGAGATGCATAACGTAGACCAGATTATTAAAATACCTGCAAAGTTGACATTTAAAATTGTTAGACATCATGCCAGAAAAGAGTGTGTGTTTGGGGTTGGGGGAAGCATTTTTATAGAGGAGGAGTGAATCTCACAGCAAAAGGACTGCCACAGAGAACTTGGTTGAAGGTGGTTGGTTTTGAACACTACCTTTCAGGATAAGATACAGCCTGGCTCGCTTCAATGGACTCCTGAATACAGAGCTGAATGTCATAACTTGCAAGATGCTCATCATTAGGGTCATCATTAATATCCATATCTGCAAATAATTTTGAAAGAGTTGTTTCTTATTCTCAACAAGGGATTCAGAACAACAGGTGCAATAAATGTAACAAATACAAAATGAAACACAGAATACACTTAGCTTTCTTCGGTAAATACACACAAATACCTAAGCTCTTAATCCATGTGCATTGAAACTCCATCCTTCTAACTTCAGTTGCTCTGTTGAAACTACCTGTCCCTTGAGTGTCTGTGTCTTTTAACTGTGGCTTTCCAGCTCTGTCTACAGAAGGCCTCGTCTTTTATCAGTTGTCTTCTGACAGCGGCTAACTTGGGCCCATCATCTGACATAGCATGTTAGAACCGTAGAATTCAACTGGAGGAGAAGGGGGACAATCTACAGTGAACCTGTAGGCCACTGTATGACTATGACGGGATCATATTCTCTATGGTCCTAGATGTCATTGACTGCTACTCTCAGAACAGCATTTGCACATTTGACATGAGGATCGTCCTAATGTCGGTTATTCCCGGGACGAGTGCTTCAGCAGACACCCATTAATTCCTCACATCATTCTGTCCACTCATCACAAGCTGCTGCTTCTGACAAGCCTGTTTCCCCAGAAACAAGTGCTATTTTCGTAAATATCTGATTAGAAGAGTAAATATCTCTCTTCAATATTAAGTCAGCTCCTTTGGTTACATGCAGGAAGTTTAATAAGTGTAGAAGCTGAAAATAGTCTTACAGTGGGGTGACTAAGCAATATGAAATTATCATTAGTTGGCAGAACTTCCAAGCAGAATGCATTCCTTCTGACATTTGACACAGGACTATGCCTTTTCAAGGGGAGAAACAGAAACAAGGTCTGTAAGCAATGTCCAGACACAGTTGACATGTGCCGTGTGTCTTCTGAGTTTTCAAGGTCAGATAATCTGGAAAGACAGCTCTAAATGTGCTGATAGTCAAGGTCTCCAGCCTTTGGACAGACTGCACGGAAACTCTATAGCATTGCGAGGATTTTGTTCTTTGTTCTTCTGTAACAAGTCTTGCCTGGTGGTATACCCATTGTGCTCCCAGCATTTAGAAGGCTGAGATAGAAGGCTCAGAAGTTTCAGGCCAGCCTGAGCTGCAATGAGACCTTGTCGTAAAACTTCAAATAAAAATAAAAACATTGTTCTGTATAAGCAGCCTTCCAACTGTTTTAGAATAGAAGCACAAACAGTGAGGATGCTAGGAGACTGAATGAGATTAGCATTAGCATCAGCATTAGCAGACTCCCTAATGCTGGCAGAACTGTCTCCTTGCAGGCCAATGTGTACAGACCTTCACCAAACAAATTCAATGGTACTCATTTATTTATTATAAACTGGTCCATGTTCTCTTGTCCATTGAATGTAACCATACAAGGTCAGAGAACTAGGGTGCGACCTCAGTGTCTGGAGAAGTATGTCCGCGTAGATCTGGGGTCTCCCTGTGTACCTTGAATGATGAATGGAGGAGCCAGTAAATGAATGAGGAGTCATTTAGCTTTTCCTTGATCTTACAACTGACCATTTCTGTCAGGAATGCAGTCTTTCTTCCAACTGAAACAAGCCGACTGCTGACTCTGTATCTGGCTTCCTTTTCCTTTTCCCTGTGGTTTCTCATCAGCGTCTCTCTTCACAAGGCTGCAGCCTGGTGCCCACAGCCTCAAGCCTGGCACAGGAGGCTTCCTCCCACAGCAGCCGTTGTTGGAATTCTCCACTTCCTCTCTCTCGCCCTCTTTCTGTGAATAACTCTTCTGATATGACATTTTCTTGCCATTTAAATTTACATGTATCCCATATTTGCAAATTCTTCACATATTTGTGTGTTTGTTCTCACTGGGCCATTTATTGCTTTCTTGAGAGAGACAGAAAAAACTGCTTTCTTTCTCAAAGTGCTGGGCTCCCAGGGCCTCACGCACGCAACACAAGCACTAAACCTTACCTTCAGCTATGCTTTCTCTTTTATAGCGGCCCTAATTTGTTGGCTCTCCTAAGTGGCGGATGTCTTCTCTCAGTGGTGAAAGGAAAAGTTCTGGACTTGTTTCTAACAAGTATGCACTGAATTCCTCAGACAACACAATTCAGTGACACAATTAACTCTTAGGCACTGCTGCCTTTCTTGCTGTTGTAACTGTACAGAGATGAGGCTTGCATGGTTATGAGATTAGTATGGGAGGCAGGGCCTCTCGCCTGTTCAAATACACAGTTTAAATCTAACTCTGACTGAAATGTGGGCAACTAGTGCCTGCAACACAGTGTGTTAGATGCTAGAGTTGGTCTGTCAAATGGATCCATAACAGTTTCAATACTGTTTTTAACTATTATCAAGAGGGATGCTGTCAGCAGGGCCTGGTGGCCCATGCTTGTAGCCCCAATTCTTATGAGGTGGAAGCAGTAAGATCTACTGGAGTTCAAGGCCAGCCTGGTTTACAAAGAGAGCTCCAGCACAGCCAGGGCTGTTACACAGAGAAACCCTATTTGAAAAAACAAAAAACAACAATAACTAAAAGAGGCATGTTATCAGTATTCTTAGCTGTTTCATATCCATAATAAAAAAAAATAAACTTGTAAAATTATGGAAAAACCATGACAGAACATCTCTACCTTACAGGCTGTCTCCAGCAGAACGGACAATTTAGATGAATTTAAGTGCTATATAGGTGTTAGTCAAGGTATCAGAATGGGCATGAGGAGGTATCATTAGAAGGCCCTGGAAGGTATTAAGACAAATGAGAAAGGCAGGTAGAGAGTGGCTGATATGGATTGAAAACTTGAAATGACTAGGCTGACAGATAAATTGGAAATTATTAAAGAAAGAACTGGGGGCTGGAGAGATGGCTCAGAGGTTAAGAGCATTGGCTGTTCTTCCAAAGGTCATGAGTTCAATTCCCAGCAACCACATGATGGCTCACAACCACCTATAGTGAGATCTGGTATGCAGGTAGAATGCCATGTAAATACTAAATGAATCTTTTTTAAAAAAGAGAAAGACAAAAGCCAGTGATAGTCAACATTAACATAATTGGATTCCCAGACTGTTTAAGAAGTGACTGAGGAAACAGCTCAGTTGCCTGTAATCCCCATCCCTAAACTACCCTTCCCCCAAAGGGACCCCTATTGAACTATGGGGACCAACGGAATGGTCACGTGTGGCCACTGATGGTTCATCCGTCGCCAATGACAACAAAACCAGTGTAAAGTGGCAGCCTGTCGACGAGTGAACGAAATGACCAACACTGAGGAAGGAGCCACAAAATCCGCACAGCTCTACTATAAGACGAACAACTAGGAGAGCAAAAGAAAAACTTCTGTCTTCTCCAGTTCACACAATTCATGGTGCATGCGCAATGGTATAGCTATGCGGTCATCAAAATGGAAAACCACTAACTGACAGGTCAATGGCAAAGATATCTGGTCAGGGGAGGAATGAATGGAAATGGCAAAACCTAGCAAAACTTAGCAAAGACTTCAAATTGTATGTAGCTCATACAGGCAAGACAGAAAAATATAATCTGAAAATAATGAAATAGTGGACAAACTGGCAACATGTTTAATTAAGACTAGAATATTAAAATTTGTCAGGGAACAAATTCAGAATAAATCAGCAAGAATGATAAATTATACATTCAAAAAACTTACCTCTAATGCTAAAAATAACTGGAAATGGAAGGAAGGAAGGCTGGAAGAAAAAAAGGAGGGAAGGAAGAAAGGAAGGAAGGAAGGAAGGAAGGAAGGAAGGAAGGAAGGAAGGAAGGAAGGAAAGAACAGCTTAGTAGTATTGGATCCAGGCAGTCCTGATGAGATTTGATACGCTATGGGCAGATGGCAGAGGAGGAGAACTTTTGCTTTCAGTGAACTAGGGGAGGGGGATAGGAAGGAAGATGGAGGGAGGATCAGACTGGAAGGAGTTGAGGGAGGGGGATTCAATTGGGATATATAATGAATAAATTGTTAAAAACAACAAAAACCCCAAAACCAATGTGCCATAGAGCACTGAACATTGTTCTGGGAAGCCCACTATGAGAGCATCTGCTCTTGACTAGTATACTAATAGCTGACTTACAAGGAAACTCTCTCCTGTCTCTCCTTCCCTCCCTCTTTTCCTCCCTCCATCCCCCCGCCCCCGTGTGTGTGAGTGTGTGTAGGCCAGCAGTCAATGTTGTGTGTCTTCCTCTGTGGTTCTCACATTATTTTTGAGAGAGGCCCTCTCACTGAATCTAGAGCTCACAGTTTCAGACTGACTGGCTGGACAAGATCCAGATGTCTCTTTCCTTCTCAGAACTGGGGTTACAGATGTTCAACACCATGCCTGGTGTTTTATCCAGGTGCTGGGCTTAGTCTACTGATCAATTTCCCAGCCCAATATATTAAGAAAATTTTATGCAAATTGATTTTGTTTACAGCACTTGTTTACACATTTAGTGGCATATTATGGATTCTTTCTCTGACAGGACACGCCAACTTTGAATATAATAACTCATGGACACTCTGAAGCTCCTTTACATTTTAGATACTGTTTAAAAGACAGCTGAATCCCAGATTTCAAATGTTTAGGATTTAAGCATTTATCGATTTGTTTTATAGATGGGCTGAGTTAAATCCCAAGTTTAGATGTATGGAAAAGGGAAGTCTGGTGACTAGGAAAACTATAGCATATATTTGGAACGAATAAGGATGGTGCGTGCCTTCCTTTAGTCCCAGCATTTGGGAGGCAGAGGCAGGAGGATCTCTGTAAGTTCAAGGCCTCAAGGCCAGCCTGGTCTACAGAATGAGTTCCAGGACAGCTAAGGATACACGGAGAAACCTATCTCTAAAAAAAAAAAAAAAAAGAAAGAAAAGAAAACAATAAAATAAATAAATAAATAAATAGTTAAATAAATAGAATAAGGATGGTGATGGTAGTATAAGCACACCTGTTTTTAAACCCTTATTCTAATTGCATTGTGCAGCATCACAGATAAGTGAAAGGTGAGCCTTATCAATTTTAAACTCTCATAGCTGATAAAAG